GTAGAAATGTTTCGCATTTCGCCGAGAAAAAACGCTCGTGGAATCAGGCCTTTACTGCATTGATGTTGCATTCTCGGAATTACATTTTTACAGCAATTGTGCGAAATTGTGCTAGTTGAAATTATATTACATTTAACGGGCCAACCAGTGACTTCTAAATTAAGAGGACGAGAACCATTTATATCCCGAATCACGGCAACTGATAACAATCATACAAAAATGTTTCTTTTTATCTGGAGCTAAATATCTGCTATTCATACAGTTCATTACTTTTAAGAACAATTTAAAGAAAATAATTAATTAAGGCTGTAAAATGTGTGGATTCAAAGACGTGGGATTATACGTCTGTACATGGAGTCATGAGCTACAGTGTAATAATAGTTTCTGACATTTAAAACAACAGGGCTACGTTTATCCTATACTTTGTTTTCATATTTTAGCCTAGTTTCAGAGGTCTCCATTAAATAACAGTCAAGATATATACGCAAATATAATTTGCGTGTCTATCTAAAATTTGTAATTGTTTCGTGAAGATTCAACCATAAAACAATTGCCCGAAATGCAAGCCCTGATTATAAAAACTCAGGGAAAACCCGTGCGGTATGAAATGCGTGACCTGTGCGTAAACATGTCGACCAAATATCTATAAATATGACGTTTTATATTTGCACAGTACATCGTGTACGTTCTTGTTGTAGAACTTGTGTTGCTCCAAATCGAGAATGAAGTAAAATCAGGAGCATACTGTCACAGGCTAATTTTGTATTTTAAATACCTCTGGAAATATCAAGGCTTTGGTACCCCTATCTATCACAAAAAGTAACAAATCCAAAACGAAGTATGAGGACTAATATTTTTATATATATCATTTCACAGATTAAAAGTATTATTCAAGAAATATGTCCATTTTGATCTTAACGTGATACAAAAATACTAAATAACATGCAAAATTCAGTGCCAAAGAGGGATTTATTTTGCGGTAGTTAAATATGTAAACATATGTTCTCAAACTGGCAGAGTTTAATACCAATTAAAGCTCGCAATGCTATATATTTGGTTTGATACGAAGATAAAATAGTAAATACTCATAATAATTACAAATGTCCATGACCTTACTCAAAAATTTAGATTATTAAATCACATAATGGAACAACTTGCAATTTGCTACGCTCACTCGTTAGCAATAGTTCTCTTCAACACTCGAAATAAATTACATATTTCCGCATAACCATATATAAATATCCTCTATACATTCCAGTTTACCTTTAATTTGTCAAGTGGTAGGCAAAATATTAGTCCTTTTGATTTGTTATTCTCTTGACCCAACACGGGAGTGATAGGAACTTGAAAAATAAGTACGCGACGCGTACATGTATCTGCGAAAAAACTTGATTCACATTTTGTATTTTCTTGAAAGAAACTGAATAATGAAGATGACATGGGACAATTGAAATATTTCATCACTTATTATAATGGCAGATAAGATTTAAAACAGGGCTGTACACAGCGGGGAGTGCAGCAGGGCAAGTGCTACCCCCACCCCCGCACCGAGAAAATTTAACTAACTTTATAATGTGATTATGATTGTAACAGATAATTATGCAGTCAGGAAATAAAAATTTCATGCAAACAATATTCAAAGTGTCTATACAACAGGCTATTTAGTAAACTGTCACCTGTCAATTCAATCCATACTCATCAAATTTTCAAAACTTTATTGTAATCATATGAAGCAAAAGTTATGTCATTTGTTGTTTACACTTGCCAATGTTAACTGTTGAGTAACATACACAAAATATTTGGTGAACATGTCGAAGACCACTGAATAATTAAATTCCAGTTCTGTACACAGTTAATGATATACCACACTGTTCGGTTTAACACCTGCAGCACATTCACACAAAAACAATCGTGTTGTGGGAGATTATCGGTTTGAGTAGAAGGTATCACAAGTTTAGTTTTGTACAATCATTGTGTGCCATTGATCAAATCCACCATATAATATAGGATTACTCATTGTAGCTGTTAAATTATTTTCCATACTAATGAATTTAGGTAAGAATTGTCTTCCAAGTTTGTTGTTCTGACAAAATTATCCAGCCAATATGCAGTACATTTATTCTTCATTCTTGTATTAATCTCTAAAGAAAAATATTTATGTTAGAAAGCAAAATGACAAGGTAATGAGGCTCGGGAGGGTGAGGATTCTTTTATTTGAAAATGTTTGTAAAAATTTTGTGTAATTTACTCTATAAATGTGTAAAACCAAAATGTATAAGTATTTTAACTGATAACATCTTCAACCTTTGCTCTAACACTACATTTGATGACAGCTTTATAGTTGGACTGTTGTTTTGAACAGAGTTATGGAGTCAATATACAGAAATACAGAACCAGGATTTAATTCAATATCTCCTGAGAATGTTTTCACTGTTTAAAATATTACAGAAGTCACAGAAGGATTGTTTTTAATACTGTATACATCTTTTTGTGAACTATGTTGATAAATGGCTTAAAATATCCTCGAAAATATCCAATATTTTATACAGTGTAATATATTAATAAAAAAATTCCAGAGTGCATTCCATGTAAACTCTACGCCGAAGATACGGCAATATTAACTATAGATAGTATAGTAAATATTTGCCGAACTGGCGAACTCGTGTATTATAAAATATGTGGGACATATATTTGCGCAAATTAAAATACGATAGGCGAATTTACCTTTTGTTTTCCCGTAGTCCTGTCTGACTTGACGCTTTAAATTTGCTTTTGTTGGCAATTATTTGGTATTTAAATATATAATATGTGGTATTTGACTACTTACCAGATGAGGATAAGATTCCATGTTGATATAAAATAACTTCGGAATAAAAAAAAGACAGCCAATTCAAGATAAATTGATAAAAATATCAAGATATTTTTGAAAGAATAACACGATTTATACACGAGGCCTGACGAGGCTAAAGTATGCCCGTTCGCAGGTTAGATGCGGGCAAGATGTAAACAATGGATGTAAACGAATCACTGATTGGCTTAAATTGTCTTAAATTATATAAGCTCGTCGCTGAATGGCTATCTGTTAACATACGGTACGGCACGGTACGGTACGTTTGCGATGGCATATATATATCTGCTTCGCAGATACAAAAAATGACAGTTGCATACTTGCGTGTAATTTGCTCGGAGCATTTTGCAATCAACATTGCAAGATTAATTGCAATGCCGTTGCAATACTCATGGGAACAGAACATCCGGTTTGACTGTAAGAGTTATATCAGTCCAAGACTGCTATAGAAGAAGATTTTATCAAAATAAAGTCAGGATAAAGTCTATTAATACCACGATTACTAATGATTACTACTCTTGAAAGCTTTTCGAAAGACGCCATCTTGTTTTAAAGCTGTTCTAGCCTGCGAACAGGTCTTCAAAACAAGGTTGACGGACTTAACGAGTTAACAACTTAACTTAACTTAACTTAACTTTACTTTACTTTACTTTACTTAACTTAACTTAACTTAACTTAACTTTACTTAACTTAACTTTACTTTACTTTACTTTACTGACTGACGCGATAGCAATATATCTGCGCTACGCGCAGATACAAAAATATTACTATCAAAGCGGACATTTGCCTCTTTGACGCCCGCGCGTGCGTAATTGCAAGTAATTACGATGATGGCGGCTAGTGAGAAGTTTATAGGACTACAGAAGAAGGTTTAAAGCCGATAAGAGTTATATAAAACGATCGTAAAAGTTTGGCAACCTCGAAATTGTGTGAAATACTCGGCCTTCAGGCATACATACATTATCTTTATGGTGTTGTTCATGAAAGTGTAACCCGCACACCAAAAGCGCAATGCGTCATTTATGTTCACGCGTATCACACTACAAACATATTATACTGCACAAAATACATTACTTATCTGCCTGTTGACTTATATACTGCTCTATTAAATGTACTAATTGACGAGATAATTATTGTGAATCATTATAAACGTCGCTTACAGCTGCGTCGCGCGACGATTTTTCGGGAATATACATGCTATATAATGTCATATAAAGATATAATACATACTTATTACTTATTCATAGTAATGTTAAAATTAATTAGGAAGGTCTTCTTTGTTCGAATTGCTTCCCCACGAGCCTTCTGCGCCAAATTCATCGTCGCTAATAACCTATATCAATACCGCGGCCGGTCGCTCAAGTTCATGGCCAAAGTGACACAGGATATATTGCGCGGAATAAAAAGCAAGCCATGTAGACATAAAGAGAGTATCGCAAAGAGCATAAAGCCGTGAAAAAATTACTTTTGGGAAAAGTCAACTTCAAGAAACATCACAACGACATTGTCCGCCATATTATAGAAGGTATGAGCATAAATATTGGAGAACAGTAATTGAAAATAATATTATTATCATTAAATTACCTGAAATAGTGAGATTTACAATTGTATGTGTAAGTGAAAATCCCAATAAAGTTTTCATTATTACTATTATTAGGTACCGAACCAAAAGATGGTGAACCCCTGCTTGTTCAAAGTCATAGCAAAGAAGTATCAGCCACTGTAACTGCAACCGCTCTTTCTTTCACACCTTGCGTAGAAGCAATCGTATTTATTGTTGACGTCGTTTTTTTTGCCTTGGGCTTGGTAGGGTTGCACGTGTCCAACCAAGAACGGATAGCACGCGCGCTTCTCCGAGAATTAGGAGAAGATACTTTGCGCGGATTCCTCCGAGCTATACACAACTTCAATGCAGCTGATGGTGCCCTGGCAAAAGCCAAAGCCCTAGCTCTTTGCTATTCTTGGCCAGATCTACAATGCTGGTGGTTTCAGGGCTGTCTTCAAAGCAATTAAAGATGAAATGTCGTGGTGGGACTGGATTAAAACAGGGGTTATAGCCGTCGCTCAGATAACGGCGTGGTTTGCAACGGATGGAGCTGCTTTCATCGCGGAAGCAGCATTGAGCATCATGAGCGCCGAGTCGTTGATCGAGGCTTGTATCAAGGCTGCCCAAGTGTGCAAGTGATCCTAAGTATATTAACTTTAATAAACTTTAGCGTGAGGACTAAAGCGTACACAAATGTTTAGTGGGTCAACAAACTGTTTTATTAAGCACTAGTTGCCCTATTTTACACTGTTAATTTCAAGGAGTAGATACTACTCCAAAAAAGGAGTAAAAAAAAAAGGTACCAGTTGACTCTGTTTTGGGAGTATTTTTTACTCCAACATTTTAACTCCACTTTTAGAGTACTTTCTACCTCACTAATGGAGTAATATTTACTCCAACAGGAGTAATAAATACTCTAATTTAAAATTTTACTCTCATTTTGGAGTCAAAAATATACCAAAAGTGGAGTAATATTTACCCTAACAGGAGTACTAAATACTCTAGTTTTAAAATTTTACTCTCATTTTGGAGTCAAAAATATACCAAAAGTGGAGTAATATTTACCCTCACAGGAGTACTAAATACTCTAGTTTAAAATTTTACTCTCATTTTGGAGTCAAAAATATACCAAAAGTGGAGTAATATTTACCCTAACAGGAGTACTAAATACTCTAGTTTTAAAATTTTACTCTCATTTTGGAGTCAAAAATATACCAAAAGTGGAGTAATATTTACCCTAACAGGAGTACTAAATACTCTAGTTTTAAAATTTTACTCTCATTTTGGAGTCAAAAATATACCAAAAGTGGAGTAATATTTACCCTAACAGGAGTACTAAATACTCTTGTTTTAAAATTTTACTCTCATTTTGGAGTCAAAAATATACCAAAAATGGAGTAATATTTACCCTAACAGGAGTACTAAATACTCTAGTTTTAAAATTTTACTCTTATTTTGCAGTCAAAAATATACCCAAAATGGAGTAGTAGAATTAAACAAATAGTAAAATTGCAATGAATAAAGGAAGAAAATTTTAATTAATATAACACTTTGATCATACGTACAAGGATTATATATGTTTTACTGCCTAACGCCTACCCTGGTTCCAGAGGCTCTTTGCAAGGCGAAATAAACGAGAGGCGAGAAGGAAGAGCCTCTGGTCTCATCGGTTGCAAATTCCAATTCCACACTTGGTTAGGTTCAGAATTTCAATCTTGCATGTGATTGGCCATTTGTAAAAATATGTCTAACCGGTTTGGGAAATAAACAAGCTAATTATAGCTTTTATAGCTATAATTAGCTTACAGTAATGTTGTTTCGCCTCGCAAAGAGTTCCTGGAACCAAGGTAGTTAACGCTACAGGGCTGCAAATAAATATTTGACTTGACAGGACATTTGTCCGATCACTTTTAATTTTGGTCGGACATAACTTGAATTTGGTCGGACAAAAACCAACACCACTAAATTTGGTCGGACATTTATATACGTCACAAGAAATATATAAGTCACGAGACAAGTATGTATAGCCATTCCGGCGCAACGTTAAGTAAAATGCTAGAATGCCTCGTAAATTTTATTGCAAAATGCAAATTGAGTGAATTTGCAATCGGATTTTGTCACAGCAAAAAAATGTATGTGACAATTTTTTTTTGTGATCGGACCAATGTCCGATCAAAATTACTTTTGGTCGGACATTTGTCAAATTTAGTCGGACATTGTCCGATGTCCGACAGTAATTTGCAGCCCTGCGCTATCAAAATTGCTGTCTATATGCATGCAGTAAGTTGAAAAAGATTTGTTCGACCTAACTAAGTTAAAAAAATTCTTACAAATTCTTTTAAAAATAAAATCCTTACAATTTTTTATGTACACTTAGTCGTAAATTAGTCAATTTACCCATTCTGCAAAATTAATTCCTACCGTGATGACAGAAACTTTGATAGTGCAGCCTTCAGGTATAAGTACAAAAATTTACATGCATTCAATTACAAGTACTAATACTGCATGTTTACTAGTAACATGCATGATGCAGAGCACGTACAGTAGGTCGGTTAGGTTAATTGTTAAAAATTAATGTTATTCAAGTTCTTGCAAATATTTGTTGATTGCAACCCTTTTTTACCTTCCCTAGTTCTCTGTATCACCGCAGCTTCCAAAAACAGGAATACATTTTTGCTTGATAGTTGACACAGGGTATTCTGGCAATATTGAACACTTAATAGTAACTTACAAGATGCGCCAACGCATTCTCAATTGTTGTTGAACTGTTCGATTTCATCAGGATCTTGTCCTCTCTAGCGATGTACCATGGCTTTACATCACCGGACGTGACCAGCCCCCACAAGTCTTGGTGACTGATGCTTCAATGGCATCATCAATAGATTCGTCACCCTGTTTGAAATTGGATATAAGCAAAATCAGATTTTACAGTAGATGGACATTGGACAACAGATCTCTTTGGGGGTGGCATGGGTACTGCTTCACTCAGACATCCCAGTTAAAAGGGGGTTGTGCTAAAGCCACTAATGTATACAGTAAAACATTCATATTCCCACTGGAGGTTCCTAACTTATCCAAAAGCCAGAACCAACTAATTGGTTGCCAAAGCTAGCTATGCTACTGTTACAAGTTGGAAAAATGACAACATCATATCAATACAGTAGGGTTTGATGGGCGGGAATTACATGGAGATGCCAAGGATGAAGCATTCAATAGGGGAGAGTCTGCCTTAGATGCAGAGCATGAGCTTCTTCCAGTACAAGGGGCAGAATAACAGTCGGATACTGGGATTGAAGGATCAACCTGTAATATTGTAAAACTAGATTTAAATAACAAATCCTTTATAATAGCAGTGTTTTATACCTAATAAAAATTACCATAACCCAACCCCCGGGGTTGAACTCAGCCCTGTTTACCAGGTTGAAATTTCAGCCTTATCTGTAATACAAAACTGTATCAAAATCAAACGTGCGATTACATGACAAAATTTTCAACCCAGGGCTGACTGCTGAGTTCAACCCCGGGGTTGAAATTTCAACCTTCAGCTAACAGGGTTAAAATCTCAACCCCGGGGTTGTAATAGTTTCAACCCAGGGTTGAAATTATCATGAGTTATTCGAGCATGCGTAGTAGTGACTATTTATTACAAGAACACAACAGGAAGGCTTTTTTTACCTCCGGGAATTCATGCCGAGAATGTATAGTATTGCATGCTTGTGTGATGTTACTCTGAGTGTATATCCACACCGGGCTGGCTTGAAAAATATGCCTGGCCATGGTGGCCAGAACCGACCTGACCGCATAGCTCAGTTGGCAGAGCATTGGGCTAGTATTCCAAAGGTCGTAGGTTCGGTTCCCACCGTGGCCAGGCATATTTTTCAAGCCTGCCCGGTGTGGATATACACTCAGAGTAACATCACACAAGCATCTTATTCACCAGAGTACATTACACCAACACAGCAAATCTCATGATTATTAGATTACACTGATATCGAAGGAACTAGACTCAGTTCCGAAATTTAGCATACTCGAACCGACCTGACCGCGTAGCTCAGTTGGCAGAGCATTGGGCTAGTATTCCAAAGGTTGTAGGTTCGATTCCCACCGTGGCCAGGCATATTTTTCAAGCCTGCCCGGTGTGGATATACACTAAGAATAACATCACACAAGCGTCTTATTCACCTGAGTATATTACACCAGTATAGTATAGCGTTTCAACCCGGGGGTTGAAATCGTCCATGTAATCGCAAAAAAATTTCAACCCGGTTAAAGATGTGGTACAGTCCGTATGTAAACAAAGGCTTTATTTACATTTCGGTATCCAAAATATTGAATTTTATTCCACAACTATTTATATTTTCATGATTCTAGAGTATAATAAATTATCAAGAGACAACAATCAAGCTTTGCAAGAACATAAAATGAAATAAAAACCTAAATAAACTGTTTGTAAATAAAAAAAGGGCTCCTTTGTGCACATGCGCAGATCGGACTGTACCGCATCTTTAATAGGGCTGAGTTCAACCTCGGGGTTGAAAGTTTTCCATGCATGTAATCGGCTTGTTGGTCTCCATTTCAACAAGAGAATCTCATTTCTATATAGAATGGTGGCCATGTTGGTCCCCAAATTCAATTATCTGTTAATTACCAAAGGATTGCTTGCAAGTCAAGAATATATAATAATATGCCTTTAATTGCAATTATAATTTACCTGATTTTTATATCTTTGTATAGCAATCCTTAATTTGAAAATCTTCCCTCCTTTTAAAACCAGTTATTTTAGCAAGACATCACTACAGGCAAGCAACTCGATTGTGCAGAGCTATTAAAATATTAAAAACAACCATTATTTGTCTATAAAATGTGACTATTTATACACTGTTAATTTTGTAACATAGCTGCCATTGCATGC